AAAAAAATTACCATTATTGACAGTGAAAGGAAATTGATAATCACGAATGGATCCAGACAAACAGTGGAGGACAAAAGTATTCGTACATTTGCAATATAGAAATAAAAAGAACGATATGTTCTATATTGTTAAGTATATTTAATCATATATAGCTGCATATTAAACATTACACTTATAGCAACAAATAACCCAAAAGTAGTAACTTCATATGACTTGAAATTGACGAGATTGTAAGAAATCGCCGGGACAAAAGTATTCGTACGTTATCATTTATGTTGATAAATTCAACAATTGCAATGGTATCAGGACATTTTGATCAATGTAATCATTACAGTAGATGATGTTCTGTTAGCGTATACAGTAGTAATCGTGGGAAGCACACTTTAACACTAATATTTGCAAAATGGGGAAAAAATGCAATGAAACAAGATTAAAAGGAAGAAAAATTGCTATATGGTTACATGAAGAAGATAAATCATATAGAAATATATCGAAAATACTATGGAGAAGTCGATCGACTATACAAAGTATTATAAACAAGTATAAAAAAGAAGGAATATTGCAGAAAGAAAAAAAAAACGGTAAACTCCAAAAATTATCTATGAGAGAAAAGTGTAAAATCGTCCGAACTATTAAAGAAAAACTAGATATCAGTGTATTTGGAATTGCATTACACGACGAAAAGTGCTGCGTCGGGTCGGATATAACAGTAGAGTTGCGAGGAAGAAACCACTCATAAACAAAGAAAATGAAAAAAAGAAATCAGAATTTTCAGAACAATAAATAAATGATAGCGACAACTTCTGGAAAACGTAGTATTTTCCAACACGTCTGTTACGAACCGGAGGGGTCACAGCCGCGTGGCTGGGGGCTGTATTAGGTTATGGTAGTGTTAGTAGGCTAACTCAGGTTTGTTAATCAATCTGAGCGCCAAAGGAAAGTAGACGCGGGGATGAGTCGACGTATGGCTAACGTCGAGTGTCACAGAAAATGTTAGTGTTTGAACTCGTAACAAAGATATGCCGGTATACCTCGAGCGGCTAAGATATACCGACTAGTGGGTTGTTGGTACTTTGATTACTAAAGCCAAAATTTAAAGAAATAAATGATTAAAAATATATTCTTCTCAAAACCGGAGTTACAAACGTTGTAGTGTATTTGTCGGTTAAGGTGATTTTTAACCGACTTCGAAAAAGGAGGAGTACTCAATTCGATCAGTATATATATACAGTGGCGGCCATATACTTACGTACACCTCATATTTTAACTTTAAAATTTGATATATTTCTACAAAGCTCAGATAGTGGTATGAACAATTAATTTCTAAGAATCTTGAACCCTGATGGCCCATTGGTACCACTATCAAAAAATTTTTCATTTTTTAATTACAAAGTGTTGTTATTGCAAAAAAATCGGCAACTTTTGAAATAA